ACATGTTGTATGAGAAATGAATACTCTAGTTTCTTCCTCCCCAAATGGCTAGCCAGTTGTCCCAATTCTATGTATTGAATAATTCAGGTTTTCTTCATTGGTTTAAAATGCCATTATCATCATTTTGCATTTGTTGTGTCTTGTTCTTAGGAATTGACATATGTACTTGGGTCTTAAATTTCAGTTTGCTTTGGGGTCTCTTTCTGTATTCTGTTCTGCCCAATTCTCTGTCTTTTCCACATTGTTTTGACTTCTATATTTATGATTCACTTTAATATCTCGTTCAGCTAATCTTTAATTACCCTCCTCTAAAATTTTCCTGGAAATTGTCATACGGTGGTGAGTGTTTTTTAAAGATTTATTTATTTGACAGAGACAGAGGGAGAGAGAAGGCACAAGTAGGAGGAGTGGCAAAGGGAGGAGAAGCAGACTCCCTGCTGAGCAGGGAGCCCAATGCAGAGTTTGGTCCCAGGACCCTCAAATCATGACCTGAGCCAAGGCAGACATTTAACTGACTGAGCCACCCAGGCACCCCAGTTGCTTTTCACTAAGAACTTAGAATAGCTAATCTAAGTCTCCTCTAACTGCTAGAAAGTCATATTGGTTTTTTTTGGGATCACATTAAGTTAAATTTATAGATTTTTGGAAAATTGCTATTTTTATATAGGTATATCTTTCCACTTATTTGAGTGTTTTTGAAGTCATTTAGAATAATTTTAAAGTTTTTAAAAATTAAGCCCTACATATTTTTGTTAATTATATTACTTCTTTCCATTTGCCAGTGTTGGTATTATAAATAGAATCTTTCTTCCCATTAAATTTTCTAATTGGTTATGGTTTATATATATAGGAATGTTATTATTTTCTCTGTTAGCTTTGAAAGCTGACAGGATTCCCTTATTATTTTTAATAGTTTTTCAGCTGGTTATCTTGGATCCACTTATTAGCTCCTGATGTCTTTTGGAGATGATGAACTGGTCTAGACGTTAATGAACCGGAATTTAAATAAAAACTTAAAAATATAAAATTTTAATTAAAAAAACTGTGCCTTTCTCCTTTTTAATCAATGCATTTACTATGCCTCACAGATTTTATGGTTGTCTGCAGGAGGAAAGGAAATAAGCATAGTAGGGGCTTGTGTGAAACTCCAACAAAGGAGAATTAAAGCAAAATGTGGACTCTGTTGATATCGTGATTATGAAAAGAAACACTTGATCCAATTTGTGCGAGCAACAGTCAATGCCAAGGATGTTACAAAACTGGCATAAGATTAAACAATTGTGGAAGGAGGTTCCTACCCTACTCTGCATTTTAAAAGCAATCAGTGTACGTGTTTTATTATAAACCGTTTATAGGATAGATACTGCAAATGTTAAATAGTAGGTATCCCCCACTCTCACTGGAGAAATGAAGTTATGCTTTTGGTATTTTGAGAGAGATAATAATGACAAAGCTGAAACCAAGAAAACATTACCCCAGCCTATGAAGCTAGCACAGTAATACAAACATGGTCCTTATTTAATATAGTACTCTCAGTAGCTGGTCTTTAGAATATTGGTAGATGGGTCCTATGGCTATGTCCAAGGGCCAGAGAATAGTTCCAGGACCTCATCATGTGGAGCCAAGTATGGAATCAAGGGTAAACCAACCTCTCAACCCTCAGAATGCTAGTGGTAAACCGGAAGATTTTCTACCTGAATCACGAACATAATTATGAGGATAATGGATGGAAAAGATGGGTGATTATGTCTGAGAGGAAATGAACATTTCAGACCACAGCCAAACACTCTGTTTGATGGTGGCAGATTTATATGTTGCTGCCAAAAGCTTTTACCCAAAGTCAAGAAACAAGTTGAACTGGCTGCAACCCTCAGGCTAGCTGATAAACCAATGTGACCTATTCACCAGGCAAAAAGTGAAGATAAATGCTGTGGTGCTCAAAAGAAAAGAATGGGGAGGAGTTTGTGCAGAGGTGAGGAAGATGGGAATATTCTAGAGGCTGAGGCTGGAGGTGTGGGTGTGAGGATAGTGACTGCCTCACTGGGGGCTCCATGTACTCCAAGCTATAGAGATAATGTCAATCTAGTCATGGCTAGTATAATCAATATGGGCCAACTCTTCTGGCTCTAGCTCTTGTTTTACAGAGAAAAAGAGAAACCTGAGTCCATTGAAAACCTCACCACAGCAAAGAAACATATATGTCCCCCACTTTGATATGTCCCCCTGGGCTTGAACGAACACTAGTGGGTTGAATTTACAGGGAAACAGTGGTGCAGCTCGAGATAGGGATGACTCCTCTGCTCATGTCAGGAGGAAAGGAGCTCTCTGTCGTTAGTAGTGAGCAGGCATCCGTTGGGGACCATTTCAGTGGAGAGGCAGGGGTATGTGGGGGAGAGTGTATAGACGAATCTCAAGCATCAAAAGTGTGTCTGAACTTTCCAGCTGTTAAGAAATCTCTCGGCCCTGAGATTCTATGATATATATATATATATATGATCAATTATATCAATTATATAGATATTATTGATAGATTTTAGCTGTGATTTTTTTTAAGTTTTGTTTATTTTGAAAGAGAGAGCGCGTATGCACAGACACAGCAGAGGGAAGGACAGAGGGAGAGGGAGAAGGAGAGAAGCAGACACCCCACTGAGCTCAGAGCCCTTTGAGGGGCTTGATCTCACAACCCCGAGATCATGACCTGAGCTGAAATCAAGAGTCCGACACTTAACCAACTGAGCCACCCAAGTGCCCCAGTTGTGATTATCTTGTTTCTATAATAACAACTATTATTAAAATTATTCCTATTATATTTGATTTTTTGAGTGTTATATGGTAGGCACTGTGTTGGAGCTTTTTATATGCAATATCTCTATGAGGTAGTTACTATCATTTCTCATCCTATAGATAGGGAAACTGAGTCTAAGGGAGGTTGCCAATGTCTCTAAGATCTGTCACACAGATGAAAATGGAGGAGCTAGGACCAAACCCTGTCCTTCTGACTGCAGAGCCGCTGAGCTATGCTTAATTTTTACTTTTTTTAAAATATTACAAACTTATAAAGCTTATAGTAGTTTTACAGTCTCAAGACATTGTCTACTTAGACAAAAAAGGTTTTATCCTTTCCAATTTTTGTTTGCTTGCTCTAAAGAATATTTAATTAGAATGAGACTCTATAGAGACAAGTGAGTGATCATAGATTTTAAAGCTTCAAATAGTAAACTGGAGTGTGTTAAGACTCTAAGCCAAAATGAAATCACAGGGGACATATAAGTAGCAGGGTCATTGACAACATTTAGGCAGCTGATCATAATTATCAAAGAGAAGAAAGAATTTGTTGTTCATTCATTCCTTTTTTTCAACCTGACAAATATTTATGAATGTACAATGAGGTTGGAATGCAATGGAAGGTATGCTGAATATATTTCTAATAAAACACAAGCATCTAGTCAGAGATGTTGGCGCAGATCTTTCTCTGCTTCCTTACAAAACTAAAAGAAGCATCCCCCCCCTAAAATTACATCTTACTCTTTTTTTTAAAGATTTTATTTATTTATTTATTTGAGAGAGAAAGAGCACTCGTGAGGGTTGGGGAGGGCAGAAGGAGAGGGGAAGCAGTCTCCCCACTGAGCAGGCTCCCTACATTCCCGCCCCCAAAATCTTACTCTTTTTTGATGAAATTGAAATGACTATTCTAGGGGCTCCTGGGTGGCTCAGTCGGTCAAGCATCTACCTTTGGCTCAGCTCAGGTCATGATCTCAGGTCCTGGGATCAAGGCCCGAATCAGGTTTCCTGCTCAGCAGGAGAGGGGAGAGGGAGATGGTATGCTTCTCCCTCTCCCCCAGCCCCCCCCACACACACATAAGTGAACGCTCTCTCTCTCTCTCTCTCTCTCAAATAAATTTTTAAAAAATTAAGACAACTATTCTAACGGGCTGGCTGCCATGGTAATCTTTCAAATAAACACAAACATACTAATTTTGGGTACCAATTGCCCTTTTGACCATTAAGGTGAATTACTAGGATGCTAGAGGTTTGAGAATGGTTCAGGAGGATGGACAGGAAGGGGAGAGTGGCTAGGGGGAGGAGAGAGGGTATAAGAGGAAGGAGTCAGAGAATTAAGAGTCAATTGATCAAGGACCAAAGGAAGAGGCAGAATGAAGAGAGCTAAGGTGGTAAGGTATGGGAGACCAGGATGATGCATGCTCAGTGAAGCACGTGGCCAGAATTCAGAAATGCTGACCAGGGCCTTGGTCCTCCAGTGGACTGACAGTTCAGCATTACCCAAGACTCCTGCTCAAGCCAGCAGTCAAGGCCTCCTCTAAAAAGTTTGAGACTGGAGGCAACTCAACCAAAATAGGGACCATCCAGATGCGTGCCCTTGAAGCTGCATCTTTCATAGATCCCTTGGGATATGATGAAAGAGATTTCGAAATAAAACCTTAATGATGTTCAGGAGAGAGGAGTAAGGGACAGCACCCTATGGACCTCCTCATCCCAAATACAGGGACCAGGGTGGCTGCCAACCGGCCTCCTAGGGGATGGGACCACATGCGTTCCTAACACTGGGATCATGGGCTCCCCCAAAGTGCCTACCACCTTCTAAGTTCCTCCAAAGACAGTCCTGCCTCCTGCTCTCTAGGTTCAAGAGGGATAGAGTTCTCTCTGGCTACTCCATCTCTGAGCAAGTGGTTCTGCTTCCACCCAACCTTCTTCTGGGCTTTGCATGATCACTCATTTACACCTTGTGCCCTCTTGGGGATCAGGAAGAAAGGCTCTTTTTCAGTCCCCCAGCTCTTTCTTTGCTACTAAATCTTCTCAATACACCCAAAGGAGAATCTCTCCTCTGCACTGCACCCTGTAGCCTTCTTCCCCCCACTTAATAGCCCCCCCCCCTCAACACACACATTCGTATGCAGGCAGCCTCAAAGCTATGGTCCAAGCATCCCTGGGTGGTAGGGAGCCTATAGCTCAAGAGGTTGAAAAAATGTCTGAACACTCACCAAGTGCAGGGTGTCAGCTTTCTGCGTCTGCCTCTGTCGGCTCTTCTGGGCAGCAATGCGATTTTTCTCCCTTCTCTGAACTTTTCTCACATCATCGGAGGAGTCCTGGGAAGCAGAAATGATGGGAATTAGGTGAGTGTGTTCTCTCTTTTGGATTAAAGCAGGTTCTCATGCTGTTTGGTATCCGTCTGTGCATCCTTCCGTTTCTTCATCTTTTCATTTGCCCCTTCACCCCCTGCTTACCAAAATGCGGAGCCTGCAAGAGAACTCTTCCCCACACTCTGTTACGCTCCCTTAGGTCCCTATAGCTGTTTTGGCCAAAAGCTACAGGAAGAGGAAAAAGACCCTGGGGCCTCGATAGGGCTGTATTTGGAAAAAAATGGTCAAGGCGATGAAGTGTGTTCATCACCTCTCCTCTTCAGGGCTGCTCCACCCTTACTCTCTCTTTTTTTTTTTTTTTGGACTAGCATTTTCTTGCCTTTTTTTTCCCCCCAAAACTTTGCTGAGGACCTACAATATGCCAACTTCTGCGCAAGTGCTTTTTCAGAGTTGCTCTGGTTTAATTCCTCAATTCTGTGAAGTTGTTATTATTGTTTCTATCTTATACATGAGGAGACTGAGTGAGGCTCAAAGGGCTTGCGGAGGAGCCTAGGTAATCCGGGGCCTTGTGTCTTCTGATGCTAAGTCTGATGCCTTTCCAAGCCACTCCCCGCCCCTCACTGGTTTGTACCCACATGTCTTCCACCACATACCTGGGCTGAGGTCCCCATCCCAGATCTTTTCTCCCGCATCCTTTTCTCCTTACATTCCCTTCATTATGCTCAGTGATGTTGACCTTCCCTATAGTCCTGAGTACAATGCCTAATAGAAACCAGTAGCCAAGAACAGCTTTAATGGTGGAGATTACCTGGCTGTGGCAGGTACTGAATGGGTGCTTAGCACAGGAGGACCTCCGGGTGTCCTCTAAGTATATCCCACAGACGGACATGTCCTCTGCTTGGGCAGAGAGGTTAGCTCCAGCATTCCCCTAGATACTGCAGGATAAGTATAGGAGTTTGAGTAAGACCCTTCTGCAGCTCCTGCCCTGTTCCCTCTCACACCCACACAGGAGACAGGGACACTGTTTCTCGGGCAAGACTCTGTGCTCACCAAGCATAAGTCTCAGCAGCATGCCCAGCACTTCCAGGCCATTGCAGCAGGAGGGCATGGTGTTAGATGGGAAGGAAGTGCTTTGCTCTAAGCGGCATGGGGAACCAGGTTACCATGGAAGCCATGAGTAATTTCCTTCCTAAGAAGAGTACAGACTTCCAGGCAGCCTGACCCATCGTGATACCATCTGGAGCAGAGGCCTGGACTGGTTGCCCTCTAGAGGTCTCCGCTATAACTCCTTCCAACCTGCTGCTCCTCTGTGCAACATTTATGACAGATGCTGTATTAGACGTTTATATACTCTTATTTCAGCTGCAGCATCTTGGAAGCCCTCTTGGATAACTGTGCTAAGGAAAGAATGTGGCTTTTAAACCACAAAGTTGGAGAAGAAGTTTTAATCCTTTGAGGTATTGGGTGAGAATGAAGAAGCCTTTCCCTGGAGAGGAATGCCAAGAAATGCGGAGAAGACAAAGCTCCAGAAGCTTTGGGGGAAGGCAGGGTGCCCCATTTCTCAGCAAGCCTCAAGCTGAAAACTTTGGACTTGGAAGTCACAATCTAGATTCCAAACACTCCCAGACTCTCTACCTCCATCACTGTGGTTTCCCCCCGAGCCGAGCCGAGCTTCTAGTGAGTGTCTCCAGGAAGCTCCAATGCCCTCTCCTGATTCTTTCCTCCGGTCCAGAAGCCACGGGCGGAAGAGGCTTGGTGGCAGCTCCGGCATCCGTCTCTGCTGGCTGTGCTAGCAGCAGGGGCAGTGCCCCAGTAGATAAGAGAGATTCTTCTAGGCTTGACTGGCTTCCTCCTCTAACTTGCTTCTTTTTTTTTTTTTTTCTCCTTTCCTTTTCCCTGACGCTTCCCTCTCTTGCCCTGCTGGCCGCCTCCCCCCAAAGCACAGGCGGGGCCCAGCCCTGTGATGCTGTGCCTCTCCCGTTCCTACTGCCTCGGAGCAAGGTGGACCTCCCCCTTTGAGAGACCAGGGCTCTTTGGTGCACATTCTCCTCCTGGCTTCCTAGAAAGCTCGGTGGGGTGGGGACCCAGGGGAGGCAGGCAGCGGGAGCAGAGAGGTAAAGGGTCCTGGGTAGAACAGGTGCAGGGCCAGGGTCCCCGGCCGCTTCATTGCAAGGACCAGGTCGCCAGCGTGACAGGCTGCTCCTGCCACCAGCCACTTCCTCGCTCGTTGGGCCCCTGGACAGGCCGAGGGAGCCTGGCCCTCCGACGCCCCCCGTCCCTCCCCAGAGAGGGAGAAGGTGGGCTGCAGGGGAAGGGGCTCTACCTGTTTGCCAGGGGGAGGAGAGCGGCTGAAGCTGGAGTCGCTGCTGTCGGAGCTGTGAGGCATGGCTGCAGTCTTCCGGGCTCCCCGCACCGCCCCAGGCGCCTCTGGGCTCTGGGTCACCAGCGGGCGTCCCTGGCTGCCGGCTCCCAGGCCAGCGGCCCAGCCCCCTGCGCAGGTGGCTCCTGTGCCCGCGCCGCCTCTGGCCCCTGCGTCCTCCTCACTCTGGGGTGCAGAGGCACTGCTCCCCACAGGGACATGTCGCTCGCTTTGGGGCTCGTGCGCGCTCTCTCTCTCTTGTGGTTTCTGGTAACTCACACTGGAAGTCACATGGGCGGAAACTTAAACAAGTTAGAAGTTAATTTGAGAGAAAATACATATCTGGGAAAAGACCCGCAGAACTATATGAAAGGAAGAAAAAAAAATACACAAAACCCCAGATACCTTCCGACTGTTTGAAAGGCAGCACAGCTCTCTTCAATTGATGAAGATAAAAGAGAAAAACAGCCCGGGCAGGGAAAAACCCCAGCCCGAATTAGCAAGGCCGTCTCCTGTCAACACGGGCAGGAGGCAGAGGGAAAGAGTTTCCATTATCAGCCGACTTGATTTTTAAACCAAAATAAAGCAATGAGATTGGGATTTCTTTCTGGTTTTTTTGTGCGTGTGCGTGTGTGTGTGTGTGTGTGTGTGTGTGTGTGTGTGTTTTGGTTTTTTTTACCCCAAAGCAGCCGCCCAACCTGCCCCGTGGTGGGCCTGGTCCTTGCCCGACTACCCGGCAGAAGAGGCCCGGAGAGACCTGAAGGCCGGCGACAGGCTCTGCGGTGCATGTTCCCAACATCTGCCCGTCACCTCGGCCCCTCAGCAGCGTGCTGTCTTTAGGGAAGGGCTGCTTCTCTCGTCCAGGGTCTTTCAGGAGCTCAGGATGGGCTTCGAATCTTCATGATTCAAATGCGTCACCGGGTCAAAGCCCAGAATGGAGGAACCGTAAGAAACAGTGAAATGAGCACTGTACTGGGGACTTGCATCTGACTTTACCAGAACGCCGGTGGCCTTGGGTAGCTCACCTGAGCTCTACGCCCCTCTACCTCCACCTGTAAGTGGAGAGCAATAAAATCCTCCCTGCCCACTTCTTGGGCTGTTTCCAGAAGCAAATGGGTAAGCGCAGATTAGAACGCCCCTAGTAGGCGGTAAAATATGCTGTGAAGACAGGTGTTACTGGTGCTATTAGCCTTGCCATGAGCACATTTGTGGAGTTCTCAGTAAGCAATCCAACACTCAGGGGGGCATTTTGGCTTTTTTTAAAAAAAAGCCCTTGCTTTATACCCAGTATGGCTCAAAGCCAAATGCTTGCCTTGCTTAGTCTTAGGAAAGCTAGGAAGCATGGCCCCTAAAGGATTTTGTATCCACTGGTGGGAATTTCTGTCTGAAGGCAATATTGTCCCATAGGATATATTGAGCAAAACAAAATTCCTTTCTTCCTGGAAGTTATATCCGAGCGGAAGAGGCAGACAATAAACAAAGTGATATTCCGTTGTATATATCCCATAAGTTTTCTTGTATTGTAGTTTTTGTTCATCTCTAAGTATTTTTAAATATCCCTTGTCATTTCTTCTTTGTAATATTCCTTCTAATTTCTCCTTTGATCCATTGATTAAGAGTTTGTTGTTTAATTCCTACAGATCTGTGAACTTTCTACCTTTATTTCCTTTTAATGGGTTTGGTCTCTAACCTCATCCCATTTTGGCAGAAGATATTTTGTATAATATATATCTTTCTAAAAATATTAATTCTTAATCGTGGCCTAACATATCCTGTAAAAATATCCCCTGTACATTTGAGAAGAATGTGTGTACTGTTGTTCTAGGATAGAATATTCTGTATATATTTGATCTAGTTGGTTTGTTCTGTTAATTAAGCCCACATTTTTTTCTTATCCTCTGATTGTTCTATTCATTATTGAGAATGAAGTATTGAAATTAAAAAAAAAGACAGTAAACAAAGAAGTTAATATATAATTCATCAGCTGGTGACAAGTGCCGTGGAGAAAAATAAAGCAGAGGGGGCCGGGGCAGGGAATTCTGGGGGTCAGTGCGTTGCTATTTCTACAGGGTGGTCAGGAAGATCTTACTGAAAGGAGGGCATCTGAATAGTGACTCAAAGGAAGGATGCTGGGAAGGGAACATTCCAGCAAGGACCTGAGGTGTAAGTGTTTGGTGTGTTAGCAGTGAGACAGTGAGGGGCAGAAGATGAAGTCGGCAGGGTCAGGGCCAGGTCATGGAGGGCCTTGGAAGCCATGATAAAGATTTTGGCTTTCATTCTGAAAGACATGGAGAGCCTCAGAAATACCCCTTCCCACTTCCACTCTGTGGTTCTCTACCCCAGCCATTATTTGTGTCCTTCATAGCACTTAGCAAATTTTGTGATCATTTTACTAGTTAGGTTTTTTTTTCCTGTTTCACTTTCTAGAATCCTTTTATGAATTTAATTCAACATATGTTTATTGATCACCTACCATGTACCAGGCAATGATTTGAGTACAGGAGATACAGTTAGTGCTTGCTTTTCCCTGAACAAGATGGTGAATCCGTTTGCTTTTGTTGCCTAGCAAACCACAAAAGAAATTCAATGGCATAAAACAACTATTTATTTAGCTTGTGGGTCATCTGGAAGGTTCTTCTGGTAAAGACTGAGCAAGGCTGGGCTCTGTCTGTGTCCTCAGACAGCTGGAAGGTTGGCTGATAATTAGATAGTCTTAGCTGGGTCAGCTCTGCTCCATGTGATCTCTCATCCCTCCAACAGGCTTGTTTATCTAGCAGGTGCAGGATTCCAAAGGTAAGCACAGAGGTGTTCAAACCTTCTGAGGCCTGGGCTTGGAATTGTTCCTTCTGCCACACTCTGCCAGACAAAGAATGTCCCAAGGCCAGCCCAGACTCAGGGGGTTGAGAAATAGACTTCACCTCTCAATAAGAGATTTAAAGACTTGGACAGCCCAGGTGGCTCAGCGGTTTAGCACCTGCCTTCGGCCCAGGGCATGATCCTGGAGCCCCGGGATCGAGTCCCGCGTCGGGCTCCCTGCATGGAGCCTGCTTCTCCCGCTGCCTGTGTCTCTGCCTCTCTCTCTGCGTCTCTCCTGAATAAATAAATAAAATCTTTTTTAAAAAAAAGAGAGAATGAGATTTAAAGACTTGTGGCCATTCCTGCAATCTCCCAAAGGTTTTAGAGCAGAGGAGTGATGAGCTCTAACTTGGGTTTTAACAAGATTTTCTGGATGCAGTTGAGCAGTTGAGCTTTTACTGTAGATGAACAAAGTGGAAGTAGAGAGACTAGTCAGGATTACGGAATTGGGTTTTATTATTATTGTAATAATCCAAATAAAAGATGTTGGTGGCATAGGCCAGTGAAGTGAAATTGATTTTTTATCATGTAAAAACCAGTAACTGTGTCTCTCTTGTTAATAATTGCATGCCCAGCGCCTAGTAGGTGCCTAATAAATAGTTGTCAAGTGAATACATGTATGAATAAATTCCCACAGAACTTGGCTCATACTTAGGGCACTTATCATGACTTGCATTATCCTCTATCTTTTCTCACCCTTAGTGTATAGAAAGCTCTATAAGGATAAAAACTATCATATTTATGTTTTCTTCAATTTAATTTAACATTTATTAATACCTATCATGTGGCCAAAATCATACACAGAATTAAGACAGAGCCTCTGTCCTCATAGGAAGAAGGGGAAATAGTCAAATAACCAAATAGGTTATTATCAGTGTTATAATGTTCAGATGAAGTTCTTTGCTCTTTGAGGATTCTATCATTCAGTAGTAAATACTTATTGGCTGAATGATTGCTTGATTCTGTGGTTCCAAATCAATATACTGATTTAATACTTAGCAGAGACTAAAGAAGAGAAAAGTAAAAAATTATCTCTTACATGGAAAGATGGTTTCTTTCAAGAGTACTGATTATGAATGATTTTTACATACTTAAGATTAAAGAAAAAACACTTGCATATCTACCATTAAGCATAAGAAATAAACTATGAATAGAGCTGAAGGCCCCTGTATATCCCTACCTAACCTCATTTCCTCCCCACCCACATAACTATTTTCCAGAACATGGTCTTAATAGTGCCACACATGTCTCTATACTTGAACCATATCTATACATATACGCAAAGCAACACATAGTGTTGACATGCATGGTTTCAAGTTTTTTACATTGTCAATATTTTTACATTTAATTTTTAGTTTTTATCTGTATCTGTACCTGAAAGGTCATGGCAAGGCCTGGGATATTGACATCCTCCTGAGGTTTTTCCAGAGAACTCCACAAAGCCACCAAGTAACAGTTGTACTACAGCCAGCAGCAACTCACTAAACCTCAGCCCAAAGCCTTAATGCTATGGTAGCATTTACTAGACACTTAAATCCCTTATGCTGACAAGAACACATAGCAGGCTAGTTGTTGGCTCATGTTTGGCCCTGTACAATTTAGAAAACAGTGCCACCTCTTGGTAGGCAATCTGAGGCCAAACGGCAGGGACTGATGAGCCCCTATTTGACTTCTAAGGTTGAGGCTCTTGAACAGTCAACAGTTTGTACAACTGTGCCCAGCATCCTTGCTATAGATCATTTACTATATGCCAGACAATACATTGATTCATTCCATTCTCAAAATAGTCCTAGGAGGAAATATTATGGCTGTGAAATCCTGAGGTACAGAGAAGTTAAGTAAATTTTTCAAGGTCATACATGGCAGCTAACTTTCCCCAGAACAAACAATCTGAGAGAGAGAGAAGGAGGAGGAGGATGTGGCAATATCTTTTATGACCTAATCCCCCAACACTTCTGCTTTATTATATTTGGTAGAAGTGAGACTCTAAGTTCAGGCCACACTTGAGGGGAGGCAAAGGAGGCTCCATCTCTCAAAGGGGGGAATATTCAAGAACTTGTGGACACAACACTTTTCCATACTGATTTCTTTTATTTTTTTTTAAATCTTTTTTTTTTTTAATTTATGATAGTCACACAGAGAGAGAGAGAGGCAGAGACACAGGCAGAGGGAGAAGCAGGCTCCATGCACCGGGAGTCCGACGTGGGAATCGATTCCGGGTCTCCAGGATTGCGCCCTGGGCCAAAGGCAGGCGCCAAACCGCTGCGCCACCCAGGGATCCCTCTTTTATTTTTTTTTAAGATTTTATTTATTCATGAGAGAGAGAGGGGGGCAGAGAAACGGCACAGGGAGAAGCAGGCTCCATGCAGGGAGCCCGACGTGGGACTCGATCCCAAGTCTTCAGGATCATGCCCTGGGCTGAAGGCGGCACTAAACCGCTGAGCCATGTGGGCTGCTCTCCAAACTGATTTCTGAGGGGATATTTAGCTGGATGCAAGCAATCTGCTGTGAGACCAGGAAGGAATCAAGGGGCAGCATTTTGCTCCTAGCTCTGTACCCAATCACTCTGTGACCTTAGGAGGGTCCCTTTCCCTCTCCCCAGGTGCTCACTTGGTGGCAGGGAATGCAAGAGAGGAGGAAATTCTAGT